AATTATTATTATTGATTATTATTTATTTCCTAAATTATATTTTATGATGTTGTAAATTCGTTAGAGAAATCTCGAGAAAAATCCGAGAAAAATCCGCAAAAAGCAACAAAGCAGGTTTAATGCAAATTACAATAGAAACTGTAACTATTCAAAAGTATAATAAGAGATTATTTAATAAGAATTTCATTACAATAATATTATTACAATAATATAACGATTGAAGCAAAGCAAGAAAAAATTGAATAACGTTCAACACATGTTCTCGACGGCAGGTATGTACCTGCAGAATCCACATTACTAGGTGGTCCAGTGGCGCTACTCTGTCTTGGAGAGAGGCTTGGCAGACTTGGACTAAGAGAAAGCGGACTGGGCGTTGTATGATCCCATCTTGATGATGATACAGAACTAGGTATGACGAGATTTGAAAGCGCCATCGAATTTTCTATACTAGCTCCCTTCGATTGTTTTTTATTGAGATTTTTCAAATCTTCAGCTTCAGAAAAGTCGCTTTCTGATGTTGGCTCCCATTTAACAGTCTTTGAGTTTTCGAATTTATTTTCTATCTTGTTTTGACGGTTCAAAAATGTGCCCTTTTTCATAAAACCATTTGTTTTCTTTTCAGTAAACTCATGGATTATAGGCACTTCTATGTCACTGGAACGTCTTTGTTCTTGAATCTTCTTCTTGCTGCTTTCAACCGTCTTTTTACCTTCGCCGGGTAAAATGATACCAAATTCGTAGCCAAAATCGTACTTGAAATATACGAGTCCAGTATCCGGATCAATTTGTTTTGTTCCTGTTTGCGTCAATGAACATTACACGCTTGTATTACGCTAATATACTTTATTTATGGACTTCTTTTCATAAATGTACACGATATATTTTATATTTTACAATAGTGAGATTGTAACTTACGAGTATGTAAATGTGTATATATGTGTTATATTTTTATATCAATTATATATAATATATGTTCAATACACATACAAATTACACAAGTCACAATTACAATGAGTCAAATATATCTTTTTAATTAGAAATTAAGAAAAAGTAATATTATTAGTATTACCATGTTCAGAGACTCGCGATTCTTCTCTATAAGTTCTTGGCTCATCACTATCAGTTATTTTGGAGTCATTAGTATGCTTCAAAATCGATTTACCCTGTTTCAAATCTGATTGGATATCACTTACAAATTTTTCGGTTTTTGATTTGAAGCTGCTCGTCATATCATTCATGTGACATGACGCAATGTCTGCGAAGATTTCAGAACTTTATATTTTATACAAAACAAGAAAGAATTTATTTACCTACTTTTCAAATAAAAAGAAAATAAACATTATTTATGCACAAGCATTTATTTCTATAAGTGTAAAACAAGAATAAAGAAATTAATTAGAGAATCAAATAAAGAATGACCGACAAAGATGTAAAGCGATATAGTTGTGAACGTAATTACTAATTTGTCTATTACTGTCTATCATTTTGTTTCGCAAAAAAAAATACGTCTATACATCTATAACATAATGTAAAAATGTTATGTAACATTGATATTGCTCTTACGACTTGCTGCTTTTTTTACGTTGCTTTTCGAGATAAATCCATATTCAGGCGGTGTACCAGGCTGTAAAACATTATCAATCTTTTCGGAAGTTGTATATTGCTGATATTTTTGGAAATTAATCTTTTTATCTATATCTCCTCTATGGATCTGTGTCAGCGACGAAAAACTAGTGTCCAACTCCATCGGTGATACATTATATGTCGATGCACTCGAAGATCTTGGACTCCTTCCTGTGGGTGGTTGAACTTTTCGATAATATGGATCCTCCGTGTCCCTATCTGCTGGAGCCCATTTGGGTCGAATTCTGCTTGAATCTACATCGCTCTCGTAATCAGATTCTCGAAATTGTCCTTGTACGAATTTTTTCGGTTTAGGCACATAATAATTAGCTCTTTGCTGTTCCTGGACAGTTGTGGCATTTGTGTCGCCAAACTTTATGACGCGGCTTGTTTGCTCAACAGTAACAACCCTTCTAGAATTCTCTGTTGATTCATCCATCCTTACGGTTTTCTTTGTCTCTGTACCCATCGCATTGGTAAATGGCATGCTTGTATGTGCTTCATAAAAGTGTTGTTGTGGCTGAGGTGGTGCATATGCGATTTCTGGTGGAGAGCCGGGTAGGAGAACCGTTTTCGATTTTGTTGGTACGATTACTGTATGTTGTTTGTGAGACGAACTTGATTCCATTGGTTTTCCTATATGAAAAGTTTGTCCGTATGATCTTCTTCAAACCTTTTCTGACCGCTCGAGAAAAGAGCATAGTAACAAAGGAAGATAGAGTAGTAGCGGCCGGTTTCACACGTCGAACAGATCTTATTAAAGCCAGAAAATAAAATTTAATGAATTTCGGTCTTGATATATTTTCCATGTTATTTTCATAAATTAAATATTGATGATATGTCGGACTTTTCTCGATCTTGAAACGATGATGAAACCGGTTATAACTAGATAGTGGCATGCTCCATGAGAAATAAATTAATTTATGCAAAAATAAGCTGTGGCGATTATAAAAGAGACAAAACTTAATAATCATTTCTAACTGAAAGAAATAGCATGCAAGATAAGCTAGATAAGAAAACTTGTTTGGATGAACAAACTATGTTTGAATGAAGCAAAAAAAACTATACATTATTAGTTGAAAAATAAAAACGAAATTAAACATTTGTTTGTTAAGGATTTAGCTTCTATTATTTTCTACATAAAATTATGATGTAATTCGGATTATAAAGTAGTGGTCTAATTGTAACTATAAAACAGTGGTCATATGTTATATATATTTGTTACTATATTGTCAAAAATATGTTGTCTTTCATATCGTTTTCTTTCTCACTTCTTATCACTTATATTTATAACAGAATGATTTGTATTGTAATATGTTATATTCTAACATAAATAAATATATATCTATATATAATTATTTATGTTAATATA